AGATTTTGATGTGCCCAGCGGATTTAGTGACACTAGAAGACAGACTATGGTGTGAAAGCCCTCGGTGAGGACAGAACACTGCCCCAGTATTGGGGTGCAGACAGACAGACAGACAGACAGACAGACAGACCTGTTCACCTGTACGACTAAGCACAAGGCTGTCGTTGAGACTAAAGTCTAAATATTGTTGAGGTACATTTTCTAGCTGGCACCTATCACGATTTATGAACCAAGACACAGACTTTGTGCAGACGTTTTTTGGCTGAATTATGCAGAACTTAGCACCGGTTCCTCACACAGGACTCACAACTTTCATCAGCAGGTTGTTTCATTGTTTGATTTCACAAATACAAAAAAAATCTCTAAGTTTAGAAAAGGTACATTTACGGAACACTGAAGTCAGTCAACAGTCTGCTGAACTCGTCCACACCTAAAACTCATCTTTAGCATAACACTCTCCCAGTTAGCTCCTCTTGGTCTAAAACATTACCTCCATGAGAAAGAAGGCATTTTCCCTCTCTGTGGCCGACACCTGGCGTAGCTCACCCGCCGACACACTCAGACGTGTCCGCTGTGACACAGCATGAAGCCGCCCGGGTCCGCCCGGTAACGATGTTTTAATAACTAAGAACGGTGGTCTTTCTGACAGGCCGTCTTCAGCCCTGATGTCTTCGCCGTATCCTCAATAGCCGATGTATTCACTTGAGCAGGAGAGGCCCCCTCCACTCCTTTAGTCAACACCACAGGATGCCGGACACGGAAGCCGCGCCCTCCCGGCGGCGCTGCCCCCTGCAGGTGTGGAGGAGGAACCGCATGCATTTCATGCACAAGGATGTGCAACAAAAAAAGTAACGCAGACATTGACCGTAAAGCACATGAGCAATATCATGGTACGGAAACACAAGTTGTGATACTTGGTTGAGTATTTATGTAATACTTTTCTATTTACTTTACATCTATGATTATGTGCACACTAAAGAATTGTGTAAATTGGTAATTCTATTACATACCACTAACAAATGGATCCATTTTACACAAAACAAATTCCTGGGCAAATCATACATTGTGTTGCTTTTTAAATGAAAAGAACATGAATGCAACCATTGCAGCAAGCAAATGAGCTTTCTGCTTCGACACATGGTAATAGATTGTTACTTGTATTTTTTTAGGTTAAAAAACTATGCAAAGTGCTTGAAATGTAAACATATGATTCATGCTTATTTATGGTGGACATCACAATTAATTACTACATTTCTCATCTTAATTGCTTAATTTCAAATCCATTATGAGGAAGCACAGAGGCAAAACTACGACAATTGTGTCATTGTTCAAATGCAATTTACACATCCATTATCTATACACCACTTAATCCTCACTTGGGTCACAAGGGTGCTGGAGTCTATCCCAGCTGACATAGGGCGAAGGCAGGGGACACCCTGGACAGGTCACCAGTCTATCACAGGGCTACACTTAGAGACAGACAACCAAGCACACTCACATTCACACCTACGGACAATTTAGAATCACCAACTAACCTCAACATGTTTTTGGACTGTGTGGTAGGAAGCCGGAGAACCCGGAGAGAACCCACGCTGCACGGGGAGAACATGCAAACTCCATGCAGAGAGATCCTGGTGTTCTCACTGGGACGTGAACCGGTGACCTTGGCAGTGGTGCCAAACACTGAATTCAATTCAATTCAATGCAATGCAATTTAATTCAATTCAGTTCAATTCAAATAACTTTATTTATTCCCTAGGGGCAATTCAAAAGCTCACGAAGTATTTAAAATAAAGATATTTTTAAAAATAATAAAATAATAAAATAAACAATAAACCACATCATAAATATTACATTATATTACATTGGCATTGGCAGGGAGTCAGCAGGTCAAAGATGGTTGTGCATTTAGAAGGAGGACAGTTTTGGGAGCAAAAATTGCCCTCCTCAATGTGGAAATGTCATTAGGTCCTGCCTAGTAGTGGGTCATTTTACATCCCAACCATGAAATTTCATACAATCCATGAACAAAATTTTAAAACATGCAGTTTTTGAGTAAATTGTACTGGTCCTGAGACCAAATGTAAATGAACTGAGAGAAAATGTTGATTCAAAATATTTTTTTAAATAACAAATATGTCTGGAGTACCCCCTAAAATGCATTTTTTTTCTCTTGTCCCAGCCCCCTGATGACCAAATTGAATCTCAAATAAAATAGGTAAAATGTATTTTAAATTTATTTCCTTCGGTATTATTTTGTTAATAGATCCATCCATCCATCCATTTTCTATACACCGCTTAATCCTCACTAGGGTCGCGGGGGGGCTGGAGCCTATCCCAGCCGACTCAAGGCGAAGGCAGGGGACACCCTGGACAGGTCGCCAGTCTATCACAGGGCTACTTGTTAATAGATGTCTCTTGTAATTGTGGAAACATTTGTTTTAATCAACATAATATTTTAAATATTAATTATTATGGAAGGAATCTGTGTCCCACAACATGCATGCAACCCTGTTACCCTGACATTTTTAGCACAGTAGTAGAAGAAGAAAACAGTGAATCACATGACACAATGAAAGGAGGAGATCAAAACTGATATCCAGATTCCAGCACAGTGAACCAATAGGTGGCCATTCAGGTCCAGCCCTAGTATGAAAATCCACATTTTCAATACTCCGAGTCATGTTTACGCTTTGCCATCTTGCATCCCAACATCAACACAAACTTAAAATGAAAGTCAAACAAACTATGGTTACCGTGCCTGTCAAAATAAAAGTTTTTTCAAAATAAAAAATGAGTCCAACCTGAGACGCACATTATATTATTTAATTTTCACCAGCTGTCCGCTACCCACCCAGAACAGGTCCGCGACCCACTTTTGGGTCGCGACCCACCAGTTGAGAACCCCTGAGCTATACTGTACATAACACAAATAGCTTCAGAGATTCCCTGTTGAATGGGGAAGTCGTAGTTTCATAACTCTCTGTTCTGGCTGTAGACCACAAAGGTTTGTCTGTTTAGTTGCTGTCACCAAAATACGTTTAGTTTGAACCAATGAATCTTCTGTCAAACACTTACTACACTGTGATGACACTGTAACTTTCCTTTGATCAGGTGTTTGACACAAGTTATTTTGCAATTACCAGAGTTATTCTAATATTTACACACGCTCATCAAGTGAACCTGTTTTGCTGAATGTATGGGTTTATAAAAGCGATTCAGCTGAGTGGAATTTCCAGCTGCCTCACCAGTCATTGTATTGTAGGAGCCATCAGGAAGAAGCTTTACAGGAAAACAAAAGTTACATCTTGCAAAAGCAGCTGACTGGAAAAAAAAGAAAAGGACTTTGTCATTTGAATAACACTGCTATAAGTAGTGGCAAGTCACACAAATGACAAGAATGGTGTACTGTATATAAACAGCTGAAATAATAAGTCCTTCCTCTCCTGTAACTCAAACAAAAGATTAATTTTTGTATCGTTTGTGAGCATATCTGAAAGACCTTTTATGAAACTTCAATAAACCTACAGTGCAGAATAGAAAGTAGATATTGTTTGTAGAGTTTGGGTGCGTCAAGATAACACAGGTGCCTGTAAATGCAGGATAATATATTTCACAATTTCTCTTCATCCAAGAGAAAAGCACAATATGCAATGAATTTTTAAATTTTTATTACAAAATAAAAGAACTGCTTATATTCACTAGAATGGCCAATGTAATTACACACAAAAGAACAGAACAGTAACAGTTTTCTGCAGATGAAGGATAAGATGGAGAAAATAGTTTCACAACATGAAGCAGCAAACCTAAAAATCAAAAAGAACAAGCTACATTATATGGCATATATTACATTTTTATATCATTTTTCTAACAAAAGCAGGGGTGTGATTAGTTTGTCTTTGTAGGATTTACATTTTTTATTCAGTAAATGGAATACTCCTTTTTCTCTGTGTCTGTTTGCCTTCCTCAAACAGTCTTGCTACACACTACATGGAAAGGCCACGTTTCCGAAGTTTAAAAAAATTGTTTTCCATCACAATACAAAGGCAATCATAGAAGTGAGACAGTTTGAGAAGCTGTGAAACGATGCAGTTTTTATGTTCCATTTCTAGCCATAGCCAACCAATAAAAGGCAAATATGATAAGGAGGTAGATTTTTTTTCTCTGGACATTGAACAAATGATAGAAAGTTTGCCGGTCACAGTGAGGTGGGTTTTGTAGGTGAGTACATTCCCTCCTGAGGCACATGAAAAGAAGCAAAAAAACCGAGCCAGTGACTGAGAAACATATTTTCTTCATCAGTGTTCAATTAAGCAGGATCACTCTGTTTCCCAGAAGGAAGTAGGATTTATATGGCGTATATAACTGCCTGGGTACAAGAGTATATTACAAACAGAGGCACTATTTAATGAAAATTCAGCTTAAATACAGATTCTTTTATTCAAAAATTTTAGCTGCAGCAATGCTCCAGAAAGCTCCACCAATGATTCAGCTCAAAACTTCATGCCAACCACCGACCTTCCAGAGATCTGGATGTCATCAAAAGGAAATAGAGCCAGAATCTGAAAGAAAAGGATACAAAGTCAGATATAATTGATGACATCTGTAATTGTCCATTACTATCCTTATAAACAATAGGAAAAGAAAAATATCTGACAACCAGTAAGCTGAAGTTCTTTATGACTCTTGCTTTATGCTTGGGGTTGCTGTAACACCTCCATCACAAGAATCTAGACATTTAAATCTCCTAAAACTTAGATACAGTACTGTGTACACCATAAACCACAACGTTAAAACCACTGACAGTAGCATTCCTCAATGGCAGCAACCCTTTTCAGCAGGACAAAGCAAAAAATGCAGTTGCCTAAAACTGCTCGAGAATGGCTCAAAGAACAAGAAAAAGAACCCAAGGTGTTGACCCGGTGTCCAACCCGCAACCCACAGGCCCAAAAGGATCTGCTGCCAATGTCCTGGCATCAGACACCCCAACACATCCCAGAGGTAAAATGTTCATACGTCAATGGGTCAGAACTGTTTTGGCAGCACGACATAACATTTGGCAGGTGGCTTTGATGTTGTGGCTGATGGGTGTATACTTTTTTATTTATTCATCCATCCATTATCTATACACCGCTTAATCCTCACTAGAGTCGCAGGGGGGCTGGAGTCTATCCCAGTTGACTCAGGGCGAAGGCAAGGGACACCCTGGACAGGTCACCAGTCTGTCACAGGGCTACACAGAGAGACAGACAAGCACACTCGCATTCACACCTGCGGACAACTTAAAATCACCAATTAACCTCAGCATGTCTTTGGACTGTGAGAGGAAGCCAGAGAACCCAGAGAGAACCCAGGCAAGTACAGGGGCAACATGCAAAATCCACACAGAAAGATCCCAGGGCGGGATTCGAACCCAGGACCTTCTAGCCATGAGGCAACAGTGCTAACCATTCTACCCCTTTTTTTATTTATATAAATTAAAAATAAAAACGAAAAATGAAACTGCTGATTGACAAACATCACTCAGACGGATGTAAATAGCGAGTTTGTTGGGAGCTTTTGTCAGCCACAGATTAAAGCTAGAATAGGGGTTTTATTTTTGGAGTCACTGGGCATAAATGTCATTCTAACCTTTCACCATATTGCAATTTAAGTGGTCTGGAGGAAAAGCAGACTTCTGCACCTCCTCTTGTTTCCAGTTTCAGGCATTAGAAGATCTACCCATGACAGGAGATTTGATAACTTTAGAGACTTTGATAACAGCTTATAGCTCATAGAATCCCCCTCAAATAAATCTCAAAATAATCTTCCAATGAGGGCAACAAAGACGTCGATCAAGGACCCCTTGACACTCCCACACAATCCTGAGAAGAGCTCCAATCACCTTATTCACCCAAAACACCTGCAAAGAGCCTTTAGTTTCTCAGTCTGGTTCAGTATACACAACGACAGTCATGAAGAAGACTGCTGACTTGACAGTTGTCCAGAAGGCAGTCACTGACACCCTCCACAAGAAGGGCAAGACTCAAAAGTACATTGCTGAAAGGGCTGGCTGTTCACAGAGGGCTGTATCAAAGCATATAAATGGAAAGTGTGGTAGGAAAAGGTGAACAAGCAAAAGGGATGACCGCAGAGGATTGTCAAGAAAAGTAGATTCAAGAATGTGGGGGAGATCCAGAGCCACCATGCACAGACGTGTCCAGGAAATAGGCTACAAGTGTCGAATTCCTATTTTCAAACCACTCCTGAACACCCAACACCCATGTCAGAAGCATCTTATCCGGGCTAAGAAGAGAAACAACTGAGCCATTGCTAAGTGATCCAAACTCCTTTTTTCATATGAAAGTAAATTTTGCATTTGTTTTGTGCACTCCAAGACTTTCTCCAACTGCAGCCTTGGTATACATTTGATGCAGCTTGACAGGGTGTTTGGGATTGACTTAAAATAAACAAGAGTGTTTGTAACAAAGACTGTGTATAAAAGATGGATGTAACCTCCAGATCTCAGAAGTAAAGTCAATGCAGAAAATGGTTTAAACCTGCACTCTTCTAATGACCAGCAGGGGGCAACTCTCCGGTGCATGATGTTTATATTTCGTAAATTATGGTTCCATTCAGAGTAAAAACAGACAATAAGATTTAAGGGCACAGTGGTGACAGACAAGTCACTACTGTATCAGCTGTAGTGTCCACAAGATCTCGCTAGAGATGGTGACAGCCAAATGCCAAACTGAAGGCCTTACAACAGTAGTCCCCAAAATAATTGGTGACATTAGTTGGCTACACACAGACTGTAAACATGCCATAAAGTGAAGTCCACAAAATATGAGGCCTGACTCCCCAGGCAATACTTCTACTTTTTGTGTCCTCACGTATACGTGAAAGTCTTTACAATATGCATGGTAGCCCATGTTAGCACTTCACTGTTAATAATACTGTAATTGCTCACATCATCATTCCCATCAGCTAGATCAAGCGCCGTCTCATCCTCCATGTTTCGCAGCATTGTGTCAGCGCCAGATTGGCAAAGGAGGTTGGCAATGGCTGCGTCCTGTCTGCCCACAGCAAGATGCAGGGCTGTGCAGCCATTAAACATGGCAGCATCCACATTGGCCCCCCTGCTGAGCAGCAACTTCACTGATGTCATGTCATGCAGCTCAACGGCTAGGTGAAGAGCTGTTTTGCCACTGGTTCCTTCCTGTGAAAGTAGGTGGAGAATAGTAATGACAAATCCCAGAAAGACATACATGGGACAATAAATTTATTTATAGATTTTTTTTCTATATCATGCAAACATGGAAGAAAAGAACACAGTAACTCATAATAATGACAATTAAAATAACAATTGTACACCCTGTATGTGAGGCAGAGTGATATAACTAGCCAGTGATTTAAATAAATAATTTCCCAGGCCTGGGATAAATAAAGTATTTTCTATTCTATTGTATTATATTCTGTTCTATTCTATTATACTAAGAGGAATGTCTGAGGTAGTTTTGGGACTGACTGTCATGCTCCCTTCCATCAACAGAAAGTTAAAGGTAGCTGGGCAGCCCAGCCTAATCATATCTCGTATCTGGGCCGGCTGTGGCTCACGTGGTAGAGCAGTTGTCTCCAGAGAGGGACGAGCACATCAACAGGTACAAAAAACCGACTCCCGCACACTGTCTAACTTGCAATCACAAATTTATTAATGCAACATTTTGGTCCGAGACCTTCATCAGGGAAATAGTTTGGCTGTGTGGAGTTTGCATGTTCTCCCTGTGCAGTGTGGGTTCTCTCCAGGTTCTTCGGCTTCCTCTGGCAGTCCAAAACATGTTCAGGTTAAATGGTGATTCAACCTGAGTCAGCTGGGACAGGCTCCAGCCCTCCATGACCCAAGTGAGGATTAAGTGGTGTACAGATGGATGGAAGTTAGACAGGAGTGCGGGAGTCTGTTTTTGTACCTGAGAGGTGTACTGTTTAAAATTACCATCAGTTTGACTTAAAGAGTAATTTCAGCCTAAATTACATCAGCACAAAACTTCTGATTTCTATTCTATAAGTCAAAAGACAGACTGAGTATAAATTCAGCCTTTAAGTAAAGCCTAGTTATAAAAATGTATTACAAAAGCTGTTTGGAGGTAAAGAGTCACAGACTAACCTGGATATTCAGGTTTGCTCCCTTTTTCACCAGAAGCTTCATAATTTGATGTTGCTTGTTCAGTGCAGCCAAGTGAAGACAGGGCAGACCTGCAAGTACATGTGTTACGTAAATTAAATGGAACATGGGGCTCAGTTCAGGTTAAAAAATAATTCAGAGATGCAATGTAAAAATGTGTTGTTGTTGTTGTTTTTTTTTTTCAAATGACAGACTGAGACCAGGACAACGTAGATCAACACAATATTGCTCATGCAAAACCTCCACACTTGTGCTACACCTACAAGTGCTTGTGCCATTTTTACCACTATTTTTTTTACTGCTGTTTCTTCTTTTCTTTTGTTAAAAGCTGACATCTTGTAAAATTAAAGAGATTAAATAAAGACAACAGCAGTCTTTTTCCACACCTCTCCAATTTTGTGTATCGAGGACCGGCATTAATTTGCTAGAAGACATGTCTCGGGTCATCTCTGTGGCGCACTCTGTCTGACCATGTTGGCAGGCCACATGCAGTGCTGTGTTCCCATCCTGGTCCTGCAGCTCCAGGCTGGCCCCTTTCTCCACCAGGCCTTTTACCACATCTGTCAAGTTCAGGTAGGTGGCCAGGTGCAAAGGGCTCTGAGGATCACAACAAAAATACAATAATCATAAAATGTATTATTAATGCCATTTATTGTCATAAATAGTGCATGCCAAAATCATTTTATAATCATATTTAAGAGGAGAGCTGAGCTGAAAAGACTAATTAATTTATCGATGGGAACACATTTGATAATTGATTTTTTAGGCCATTATCAAGCAAAAACAAGAAACATTTCTTAGTAGTAGACGCTTTAATGTAAGGACTTCTTCTGATTTGTCATCATGTAATTTGAACACCTTTTGAGCTCAGTTGGTATAAACAGTAGTCAGAGTTCTCTGACAAAAAATTCAATTTCATCAGTTCATGCTGACAATACTAGTTAGCTGCAGCCCAAATTACATTTTCCTTTAACCACTTCTACTTCAGTTACTGTTTCCCTTTCATTTCTCGAATGTTTTTGAACAACCCCAGTGTGAAGGCCTGCATCTGTTCGGCTCCGCTGTTTGTCAAATGCACATATAAAGAAACAAACTGGAAATAAACAAGTATTGTGCTTGCACTCTATCCTGGTCTGTCAGGTTCCCTGCCCCAGCCCCTGATTTGCTGCCAGTCTCTGCTCCTCCTTTGCCTCTTCCTGTCTCAGTGAGCGCTGCCTCATCAACAAGTGCAAACCCCTGAGCAGAGGCTGGCTCACCTGCCACATATCAACCCTCTTCTCTACAAAACCCCAATTCAAACCTCACTTTGCCATCATCACTGACTTTAACTCACGACTGAACTGGTTTCCTGCTTTGTCTCACATGTCCCTCTGGATGTTTCGCAGCCTGCCATGCTGTTCAAAAAACTCTGGACTTAGAACCAGCCCTCCTGTTGTCCTGTCTGCACTGCCCTCCGCCCCAACCTGCCAGCCAAGTCTGCCTTATCTTTAGCCTACAGTTTGCCTGTTTTCCACCAACTCAGTTCTTATATTCTCCTTTGCATATTCTTTGTAGTCCTTGCAGTATTTCATTTTGGTTCTCCGTAAACTCTTCCATGGTTGTAGTTCCATGTGTTTAGTGTCTGTCACTCACCAGCAGTTTTTGTGTTCTTGGTTTTCTGTGTTTTAGTTTTTCTAGCCTACCTTGTCATGAGTTTTATTTAACTGCCCATTCTTCCTAGTTCACTCCCCTTTGTTGTTGGTTTTTAACTCTTTTCACTTCACTTTGTATTTGCATCTATTGTAAATAAACATTTTTCACACAGTCATGGGTCTCCTCATCCTCACTAGTGTCTGCACTTGGGTTCTCTGTTGACCCCTGTGACATGGTCTACAGAAACTACTGTCGGTCTAGGATATACCTCTGCCTCTTTATTATGGATTGAATTTCTGCATATCACTTGCGATCACAATTCTCCTGAAAGACAAGGCTGTAACTGAGCAGCACACATTAAAACTGTAAAAATGAAATAAAAATGCATCATTACTTTTTTTTTTTTTTTTTTTTTAAATAAGAAGGCAAATGTTTTAGGGTGACTTTTCTTTTTAAAACCTAAAGGCAGAACAAGAATTCTTCCTTGTAAGGTGTCTAAGGGCAATGGCTTAGAATAACAAATATGAGGAAATAAGGCAACCAAAAAGGACTCAGCAGAAGGCGGACTGAGTCACTGCACAAAGTAATGAAGTTTATCTTCACGTTCATTTGACAGTTCTGTAAGTCTTCTGACATTCTTGCAGGACTGGAACAACTCCTCCACCCACATCCACACAAGGATACACTCCACAGCTCCCTGTGGTTCTATTTCTACATGAGGTAGAGAAGGGGAGTTTCCATTCAAAGTCCCTTATGAGCTAACATTGGAACCGCCCACTGTGACGTTCCTGAGAGAAGATGGACTGCAAATAAAGGGGAACAGCAGTTCTCTGGAAGTACAGAGATATAAATAATGCTACTGCTTCCACAATCAAGATACCGATAATGAGGAAGTCCTTTTTGAATTTTAAAAAAATCCTGCAGAAGCTCCAGTATGCTTATATAGTGAAACAAGTCATGGTATACTTACCTGGTATAAATTGTTTTGGATGTCCAGGACTTCTTTTGGAAATAACTGTATCAACTCTTGAGCAATGAAATTGTCTTCATGGATGATTGCCAAGTGCAGGATTCTACAGGAGTAACAAAGAAAAATAAAGAATGTTTGCAAAAACATGCAGATCTACTTTAACTTAAGAAAACAGCCCAAAAAAGCACCAGTAGAAAAGGAAAGACTGTGATTCAGCAAAATGTTGCATCACTATTTCCCTCTGTTTTTATCCTACCTTAAAATCCAACACTTATTGGGCTGAATGACAAGTTTGAGTAGTTGGGACATTAGGCAATACTTAACATTCTGGAAAAGATAGCCGTTAGATCAGAGAGATACAACCTTGGAGGCTGTAGCTGAAACACTTAAAACAAACAACGACAAAACACACTAACCTTAAAACCTGAGTGGGAAGTGGACGCAAACGTGTATTGAAGCACAAAATAGAACTGTGCATAGAGCACCTAATTTGATTAACTGAAAACAACATCAAATGGGCCCAATCTAGAAAAGTTTGGCTTTAAGTTTTAAAAATCATTTTGTACAAATTCTATATCAACAGACCCCATATGAAAGGCTGAAACTGATTTCGAGCCCCCAAACAGCCTGAGTGAGGAGCTTGTCTCACTGTTAGGTGTAAACTGATCAGCCACAGCTTAAAACTACTGCCTAACATCATGAAAGTCCCTCTCGTGCTGCAAGAGCAGCGCTGGCCTGACGAGGCATGGATACAGGACCAACAGGACCTCTGAGGGTTTACTGTGGTATCTGATATCAGGGTGTGAGGTGGGACCTCCCATGGATAAGGCTTGTTTCAGCACATCCCACTGATACTTAATCAAAACTGGTCACCTTGTGTTCCCTGGCCTTTTCTGAGCAGTATTAGCAGTGGTGTTTCGCACATTGTCCTGCTGAGGGAGGTCTCTGCCTCTGGGGAGCACTGTTACCATGGGAGTAATGCTTAGGTGGGTGCAATGTGTCAACGCGATACCCATATAAATGCTAAGATTTCCCAGTAGAACGCTGCATTGTAACAAGATGATCAGCATCATACACTTGACCTGTCAGTAGTTTAAATGTTGTGGCCGATATATGCTGCTGTTGCTGTGCTTTCAAGGTTTAGAAGCGAGTGGGTCTTCAGAATAAATGTAGTATCATTTAACCAAAATGCTAAATCCCATGCTGTCTGTTCATAGACGGGGCAAAAGTTCCTACAAAGATTCACAGCACAGATTTCTAATGTTACATATCATAATAACCAATTTGCTAAATGTGAGAGGACATAAACTTTAATGCAGGATATAATAATAAACAACAACAACATAATAAACAACTAAATATTACATGACTAATATCATTTCTTGTGTTTCCAAGCTGGCATATTACTGGTACTTTTTTAACCTGTCAATAAGGGACTCTGCGAGCATTTTATATGCAACTATTTTCTTTGCAACACTTCACACAGAGAACCATTAATTCTTGTTTGTTGTTGATGTTTTAACAAATTTAGGAATTAAACTGACATGAATTTAACATATATCTAAGTTTTTAAGAGGTTAGAAAGTCACTGTTAATCACAAAAATGTATTTTGGAAACACATAGAAGAAAAAAAACACTGGTGTGTGTTGCTGAAACTGACAATGATTGAAACCTATGGTGGTCGCAACATGTTGGTGTTTAAATACATATTACCATGTGAAATAAAGGCATTTTCATTTCACACACACCTGACAGCGTGCCTTGGATCGCTTATGTAGGAGACCTGCATTTACATTTTTGGTACTGAGACTATATTTCACCTGTGCAACAGGCCCTCCACAAGATGGACTAAAAACTACATTTTACTTGGTATTGAATTAACAAGGTAATCCTGATACACTGCCAACCCGACACTGCTTTCAAAACAAAGCCAATTTTCTTGCAATTATGACAAAAACTGCTTTGACCAGTCAGGTGTAACTAGTGTACTGATCATATATTCAGTATCAAATAACTGTTTAAGTTGTTCTTCAACCAAAAGTGCCAAACCTTAACTGGTTCCAACTGAGGACTGTCTGCGTTCTCTTCGGTTAAATTACAATAAACTGGATATCTTTGGGTTTTGGACTGTTTTTTAGACAACAAGCAATTTGGTAAACTGTGTGCCATTTTTCAGTAAATCATAATGTGTTTAGTCAAGAAAAAGAAACACAAGATGAATTGACAGCAGCAGCTCTTACTTAACCAGTGATTTCCCAAATACAGTTGCTATAAACTGTAAAATATAATAATAATAATAATAATAATAATAATAATAATAATAATAATAATAATAACAAATTAAATCTTAATTGAAATAACAGTGTAAACAGAGATTAATCCAACACTGAAGTATGGTAACAATGGCAAAAATGTACGGACAATGCATCACACAATCAAGTATGTTGACACATTTCCAAATCTATTTCTGTCATGGCAGTATCATCAGACTCAGTTAAATGCCTGCAGACCAAAGGATTTGCTCAACCAGATAGTCAACCCTGTGAGCAACGTGTGTGAAAAAGAAACTTCCTGGTTTGAGTAAGACTTGAATGAATAAGAACTAAAAAAAAATCCCACAGGGGAAAATTAGCGTTTGCATGACTCTCAGTCTAAGCAGTACAGTGTGCTGTGTTTCAGGTGCTTTTTCCCTCCCAGGTATCTAAATTTAGGGCGCGAGAATGACACCATGTGGCCTGAACATATGTCAAACGGAAATGAAAAGAGGTCAGACACACAACAACACTTCTGTAATAATGTGACAAGATCAATCGCAGGACTACACTGGTTGGTGGCTGTGGGACTCATTGACAAGTATGCATTATCATCAAAACTGACTGATGACACTAGATGATTGGGTCACACGATAAGGTCGACATGGGCTGATGAAGCTGTGTGTGGATGTCGAGGTGTTTGGATCGTGTGCAAAAAGCTGCAGTTTCATTGAGTCAAACTGAGAAATCAACAGCAGCAAAAAGCTGCTCTGTCACAACTGACATTTTTTGATGTCTGGTCTGAAAAGACAGACAGAAAGACAGACAGACAGACAGACAGACAGACAGAAGCTTGTCAATCCTGAAAACAAAACCATGAATACACTCCGTCCTGTCCTGATAACAAGTTTCTTGGATCAAAAGCAAGCCATACTGCTTCCTCACAGCATGTGCTTTGTGCTGCAGGGGAAGTCCAGGCCTATCTGTTTCACTTCTGTTTTCTGACTGAGAGACGCCTGACAGGAGACATCCACATTTATGGTACGGACAAAGTTCATTAAAAAAGTCTGCAGTATCAGACTGCTATGAAATCCCCTTCAACACCAGCATCATATTCAATGTGGTGTATGGACCATAAACTACAATTCATTCGAAGTTTCTCATATTTAGTGGAGTAAAAGAGAAATCATTAACTTCTTGAACCACCAGTCGATTACTTGATTGGTCAGTAAAAAGTAAACCTCATTTCGAAACTCTCTAAAGAGCCACTTTCTAAGCAACATTGCAGACTTTCCTCTGCTTTTAGCAAACCAAATGTGCAAATTTGTTGTGTTTCTCTGTTTGCATCATTGCAAACTGCTTATCTTCAAAACAAACCAGTTGACAAAGTCGTGTTTTTTTTTGTTTTTTTTTTTTAGACAAAACTGCTAATACTGATGATAACAACACAAGGGTGCCAAAAGACAGCGTGGATCATGGAAATAATACTATGCTTCCAAAGAAGGAGGTGGAAAACTAGAAAAGTAATTCACGAGAGCTGATAAAAGCACATTTCTTTCTACGACACAACTGGCCGGTTTATACTGTGAGCGTTGTGGGGACACAGATGGAGTGTTGGAGCCCCACCAGCACCGCGCCTGTCAATAAACAGTGGTGCGCTGAGAAAAATGTGATAGTTTTAGACGAAATTCAGATAATAAACCAAAACCTACGTGTCTCCTTCCTCTGTGATAGCCGTGAGCAAGTTCTCCTCCTGTTCAGAGAGTTCACAGATGTGTGCCTGCTGCTCTTCGGCGCTGGACAGCGAGCACTGCTCCACTATCTCCGACAGACTCTCCACCGTGATGGACGAGGAGCCGTAGGCTGAGTCCAGGCGCTCCTCCCCGGTGGAGAACTTGTCCCTTGGCCCGCTGAAGTCGGTGCTCGGGTCACGGGGCTCTTCCGACTTCAGTATGGAGCGGTACGAATCGATGCCCGAGTCTGCGCGGTTATCCTCCAGCAAATCATCTTTGCCACAGCCGTCGCTCGCCATTTCCTCGCTGGGTTTCCCCCTCCCGCCTTCACCGAGGATTTAAAGGCTTCTGACGGGTGTTGTCGCAGCTTGGGGCTCGGTGCTGTGACCGGACTCCGAGGACAGCCTGTTGCCACCTGAGGAAACCAGCGCTCCTTTGTGAAAGCAGACGAACGAGCCGCTTCGTTTCATGCCATTAACTGATAAAGGTGTTCCCCGCAGCAACAGGCGGCCGCTTCGGATCGATTATCGAGCTTGAAAAAGTTTCAAAACACGGCAGGTCATTCTAGAGTCGGTGAAATGGGTTCAAATCGAGCCAAGTGAGGGGAAACGTCGACCAAATATCCGGTAACAGCAGGAGCTACAGGCGGAGTGCAGAGGAGCGTTGAAAGGCGAGAAGGGAAGAGCTGACATGTGAAAGCCAGAGCTGTTTTTGTCACGCAGGGGAATCCCCGGTGCGCGTGAACGACCACACACACACACACACACACACACACACACACACACACACTTCAACTACAAGAACGTCAAGCGCATTTTACGTAGTAAGAGAATTTTTTTTCAAAATAAATGTAGAAAATCAACAACTTGAGAGGATGTTGGATCTTGTATCCTATTAAACATATTTCTAGATTACATCTCAACTAATCATTCTGCAGCATATTTTGGCATTTCTTTTTTTTTTTTTTTTTTTAATATTTGAACCATACGAAAATCAATTAACACCATTTGGTGTTAAAATGCTTTAGTTTAAAAAGTAACTTTTTCCAGTACTCACCATATTTAAAGGTCCCATTTTGTGCCTTTCCAGCACAATATTGCAAGTCTCACATGTCCGTAGAATGCGTCTTACAATTTTTCAGGTTAAACTAGCTCAAAGGTGGTCCATTTCCTGTTTTAAATGGGCTGTTTCAGTTTCAGTGTCTATATGTTTAAATACAGTAATAGTAAGTGATCCATACCTATATATAGTCTCTTTCTTTTTTCAACAATTTCCCTGAGGTTTGCACCAAAGGGATCAATAAAGTTCTATTCTATTTTATTTTAACCTCAGCTCGGTTCTGCCAAGTGCTTTACAATGTGTTTCTCATTCACCCACACACCAATGGTGGCAGAGCTGCCATGCAAGGTGCTCAGCCACCCTTTAGTGTGTTGCCTAAGGACCTTTGACACATGGAAAGGTTGGGGATCAAACCAGCCTTACAATTAGTGTCTGCGTCTCTTGTGTGTGTCAGCATGCGATTGAAATAAAGAGGAAACACTTGTCTACTACCTGCAGTAACCATGGCCACATTGTGCAGTTGTACAACAACAGCTAACTTCAGGGGGAGTGTGTGACACCATGGCTTTCTGTTGCTTCTCACTTTGACACGGAAATATTGCTGAATTCACAGCACCACTTGGGAAATAGCTCTGAAGTGACTGCATCTTCACATGTAGTCTTAAAAGGCAGCGTTTGATTTATTATTTCATACTCATTATGTTGTCTGACAACAGAAACAAAACAATTTCTCTGAATGTATTTGAGCATTACAATTTCCACCTCGTGCTGACCTGTGGCCATACCATGGTAAATGGTCTGCACCTATTTAGCACCTTTCCAACTTCATGGTACTCAAAGTGCTTTACAATGTGTTTCTCATTCACACACCAATGGAGACAGAGCTGGTGAGCAGGAGCTACTTCAGGTTCAGTGTCTTGCCCAAGGATGGGCCGGGGATCAAACCACCAACCTTGCCATCAGTGGACAACCCGTTGTACCACCTGAGATACAGCCGCGATCAAAGCTAAAGCCACTTTAGCCACACAGTGTTCTAACATTAAGGATTTTCCTATTGTTGTGGGGACACTGGCATCAAAAATAAAAGTAATCCACTGGATGTTCAGTTTCTCAGGTCCTGGGAGTGCATGAAAACTTGTGTGTTCACAACAGCAGAATATTTGGTAAACTTTGCTTGTGGTTGAGACATTTTAGAATGAGCAAAAGCAGCTCTTGAAAGTAAATGGACCTGGTGGACTGTGAGGCTGCTGCTCTTTCTCAATGGTTCATCTGGAAGCAGCAGGCAGTGAGGGGGAAGAATTATACAAAGGTTTGTTAGGTGTTAGGTAGCACCTTGGTCAAATTCTTTCTATGGGAAAACTACAGGATTAATCTTGTCTGCTAATAAATGTGTAAAGATATGATTGATTGCAAAACGTAAAACAATAACTGCAACCCAAAATAGTTATCATTCTAAAATATATGAAGGTGAAAGCAAAGAAATGTTCAATCAATTGCCTCTCTTCTGGTATGTGTTTCTTATTTTTGGTTTGTGAATCTCAGTTTTTATGAGAAGCTTAAATAGGCTAATGTTCCAGGGTTGTGGAAGCAGTTAGATCTCTTAAGAAATAAATTATAGACCAGATAAGTGAATGTGCAACTGAAAAAATGGAATAGTAAAATTCCAAACAATAAAACAGCTTTAGAAATCACAGACTCTTGATCGAAGTATTTGTATAGGCCTAATCCTGTGTGAGTTGTATGATTCATCTCGGTTGTTTGTGAAAGATGCATTATATTTAAGATGTAAAACAAGACATCAGAATAGACTAATAATCATGCTACAATAATGAACCATTCACAAAAACATCCAATTCATGGTCAGAATTGTTCTCAATAATATTAAATATGTACAGTTTGTTTAAAGAACTAAAGCTTGCTAAAACTTTTAGGGTTCCCAGCAACGTCGTTATAATCTATATGGATAATAGCTGATATTTATATTTTTTGCTCAAACTTATGGTTGCTATTAAGGCTAAGGTCAAGTTTCACAGCAGTAAAATTTCAGTGCTCACTTTTGTGACGCAAGTCCAGTTAAAGTCCGAGTATCAAGTCTTACTAATTTGTTTAGTAATAAAACAAAAAATGTATGCTTGGTGCATCGTGTTCTTTAGTTTCAACATCCATTATCTATACACCACTTAATCCTCACTAGGGTCACGGGGGGCTGGAGCCTATCCCAGCTGACTTAGGGCGAAGGCAGGGGACACCCTGGACAGGTCACCAGTCTATCACAGGGCTACACTTAGAGACAGACAACCATGCACACTCACATTCACACCTATGGACAATTTAGAATCACCAATTAACCTCAACATGTTTTTGGACTGTGTGGGAAGAAGCCAGAGAACCTGGACGGAACTCATGTTGCACGGGGAGAACATGGAGAGTCCACACAGAAAGATCCCTGGTGTCCTCACCGGGACGTAAACCAGCGACCTTCTTGCTGCAAGGCTTTATTTGATGAGTGCAGTGAGAGAGAGAGAGAGACAGGAAAGTGGGGGACAAGAATGCAAGTCTTATTCTTCAGTCTTGCCACTGATAGCATTAACAAAGCAGAGGCACATTGTTATTCATTGTTTTTCATGGGACTTTTATCCCTTTTCTAAAAAGCTGCAAAACCTGAGCTTTCTTATATAAACTTTGTCTTGTTCAATTTGACAGTGATGGAGAGTGATCATTGGTGATGTAATGTGTAGTATGGACTTGTCTCTAGAAGTTGACACATTGTCAGTCTGCACTTTGTTTTGTATACTTATCTAGCGCCTCCAATATCTTTCTATTGATACATCCAGACAATAACTTGATTTATTTCTCAGTAAGCTGCAAAATATTCACAACTATCCACGTTTTTCAGTCTTAGTTGATAGCTTGTATACAGAAAGCTATAATACACATAAGCAGAGTTTAAAGCAGTAACTTCTGACTTCCGAAAAGATCAGGAATTAGTTATCATGTCTTGTTTCTCCGTTATAAATTTTTCTGTTGTGGTTTGGCCTTTAGAGGGCTCACTTACACCGCTATGAAACAATACTGACTGTCAGAGACTGTCAGAGAGAAGCCGTGACTGCTGCCAAGAGCTGCCATCTCTTTTCATGTCATCTACTCTTATGTTTGATTATTCCACTTTGTGTCAACAGTCTAGTTCAATGTCCATATTGTGAGATATGGTAAACACAGGCTTGTGTGCCAGGATTCTAAGAGAAAGGCTTCTTGCTTAAATAGTACTGTGTAAGAAGGAAGGACTGAAAACAACAACAACAACAACAACAAATGCTACATCATGTTATTTTATTTTTTCTTGTATTTTACATGAAAAAATAATCACATCACCAGCCATTTTTTCTATTTGTCCCCCTAGTGACATGAAAGTTGACCAGCTCTCAGGTCTGTTCTGCTTTTTTGTACCTTTTTTTCTTTAGTGATTTTGTGTCAAATCTTGATAAGTATTTTATAACATGAAACTTCGACCTGGATAACTTTAATAATACAAGATGGAATTTTGCACTTAAAATAATCACAGTATTTTGTAAACACTATTTGAAAAAAACAAAAGTAAGATCTTCACCTTATTATGATAAGCACTGTGAGATGACATATATTGTGAACTGCGCTATATAAATAAAATTGAATTTAAAAATGGAATTTGAAATGCATGAAAATACAATTGGAAGTTGGTTTCAGTTGATAGCTTATCAACAACTGAAAAAGCAAAGGCTGTTCTCTTCACAACGTGTAGAGTCTGCTGACAGGTTACAATCTTAAAACAAGGAAAAAGGCACAAGTTGTCCACGACAAATGCAAATTAGTGTTTGTATAAACAAACTCTGCAAGGTGGCTCAGTGGTTAGTACCGTTGCCTCACAGCAAGAAGATCGCCGGTTCGCTCATAAAATAGTTTTGTTTTTGTTTTTTAAATAGTATTTCAACATTATTTAAACAGATTTTTTAAGTGTTATGCACTTAATTCCTATAAATATGAGCATAAGTTTTTAAATCAGCAAATTCTAAAAATTATTTTTGCTTCAATGTTAAGTAAGTAGCTTTAAAGTGTTATCTTAATTAGTAAATTAGAGTATTTATCTTGCTAACATGCACGTCGGGGGAAAAGGTTTCTTAAGTTTCCTATTTAGAGCGGACACTGGTTTGAAAGATATGACATTTTCTCAGCTTTTATTATATCACTGATGATTATGCTTATATTTAGTTTGAATGCAAAAATCCCAGAGTTTAACTAAAGCCTCGAACACGGTTTCAAACAAAACACCACCAACTTCATCTGCTAAAAGACCCCTGATGGTAGAAATCAAGCTTGTTTGTGTCCACATGCTGCTTTTTATATGCTAGAAGACACATCCCGACTGCATGGCTGAGTATTTCCACTTGAAACTACAGTGTACTGATGAAAGAGTCCTGAATTTCACACATAACAAACCTAAGAACTCAATCCTGTCAGCTTGCAGGGCGATGCTTTAAAAAAAAATCCATATTGTACTTCATATTTTTTTCAGGTTCTAAACATGTAAAGCTGAATTACTCTAATTTTACAGCTTGCCATTGTACTTTTAAAGTGTTTGAACAGACTGGTAGGGTGAGCTGGTGTGCTTGAGCTGTAGTAAGGTGAGGAGGAGTGGCTGGGGTGGGATGGCTGGGATTTTAATGGTAAAAACTTATAGATGTGTAACTTTGTAGTAAAATTGTTGCGGGGCTTCTGCATACTGACATTATCTAGTGTGGTTTTTCCCACAGGCTCTGTCTCAACCTGCAGTGGCGGGAATATTACCTTTTCATAAATAATGATGTGAAATGTCAAGCACGTATATTCAGCTGCATATTCGCAGTTTCATTTGTGGCACTGTTGAAGAAATTTTACTCATAGTCCTCATGTGAAGTTTGTTGTAGTGGGTGTTTATTAGTATTCCGGTATACGGTGGGCTCACCAACACAGAGCATGAGTCTGTGAAGGTGGACCGACCCTGAACATCTCCAGAGTCACACATTTATAGGGTAAGTCAGAGGGTAGGGGGGCCTGTATGTAAATACAGAGGTGAATAGAAGCAAATTAACATACAGTTGCTAATCAAATGATCGGAGGTAGGGGGGCGGGGGGCAATGAACCACAGATGATGAAATCGGAGTCTGGTGACCGGACGGGTGGTGGAGTCAGGGTTCTGGTAGCATACAGTTGCTAATCAAATGGCAGGAGGTAAGGGGACAATTAATAACAGGGGGTGGAATCAGGTGTCTGTGACAGGAGGTGGGAAAACACATGGCAAGATAAGATAAGATAAGATAAGATAAGATAAGATAAGATAAGATAAGATAAGATAAGATAAGACAAGATAAGATAAGATAAGGTAAGATAAGATAAGATAAGATAAACTTTATTGTCTGTCACAAGTGACAGAAATTCTTCTTTGACAGGCATAAAAACAAACACATTTAAAACAACATACAAGTACAGCCATAACTGAAAGGACATTAGGGGCAGTTAAAAACAGCAAAGTGTTCGTTTCCGGCTATTTAGAGTGGTTACTGCAGTGGGAATGAATGATTTTTTATAGATGTTTTTCCGGGCCAGTGGAACCTTGTATCTTTTGCCTGAGGGGGTGGGAAGGGTCTTCTGTGATCAGGGTGGCCTTCCTAATCACAGACAAAAGTGACAAAAGGTGATGGGAAAACACATGGCAACAGGGGATGAAATCAGGGGTCTGTGACCATCAAAATAAAGGAAAATGACTTTCTTCATCAGCACCATTGTAGTGTAACCTAGCAGTTTTGAAAATGGGTTATTGAAATTCAGATCGGGCCACGATTAATGCCATGAAGCTGTCGGGATGCAGCTCCCCTCTGCGTGTTGGGCACATGTTTGTTGGTGCTGCTCCACAGCGTCCACGGCTGCCATGGCCACTGTCCGCAGGGAGAACACCACCACCGCCTCTGTCATTTCCGAACACTGCATCCTCAGCAGCGCTCTTCATTATCATCTAGTTATTGCATTGCGGGAGGAGTCTCAGCCTGTCTTGCGAGGCACAATGACCGGATTCCCCTCGACTAAACCCTGTCAAGTCTGCCCACCTGCTCGGCGCAGAGAGGCTGGGAGGAGGCTTCTTTCTGTTTGGGCTTTTGCTGGACTCGTTTCTTTTGGATGATGCGCAGAAGGGCTCTCGGTGTGTTCATGTCTCATCCCAACATGAGATCCATGCGCTGCTTTTTGTATCGCTACCATCATGTCCCCGGCATCGGCTGCAGCGGCCAGTGAGAGCAACACCTCCACCGTCCCCGAGGAGGAGTCCGACAGCTCCCGAGAGGAGGTAAGGACCAATTGTTTGCAAGATGTTTTCCAACCCTAAAAGCTGCCTTGAATTCGTGTGCTGTGTTTAATTAGAAGGCTGTCATCGTGGATTCCATGTTGTCACTTTAACAGGGCTTTGGGAGATCAGGGTTTCATCGAACACTCTTTTGTTTTCTGCTGCTTTATTGGCCTATTATGCCATGGCTGTTATTATGATCTAGTGTGCAACTGTGCGTCCAAACGCTCATCCGGGAGTCTGAATGTGCTCATGTTTGTTTCCCCTTTAGACAAGTGTTTCCAAAATCGGGTTCACGGGTCCATTATGGGTCCTGGAGAGGGTCCAGTCGGGTCAATGAAAGAGTGTAAGGAGGGAAACAGAACAAAGAGCTGTTGTTTTGGTTGTGTTTCCGACAAAAAGCGTCCATCTATACGGGTTTGTTTCTTTAAGGACAAAAACAAATCTTCATTCAGACAGTGACAATGTGCCAGGATTGACTTAAAATAGATAAATGACCTAAGTTTGTTGCTTTCCAAAACCCTAGACTGAAAGAACACCACTGAAACAGATGATTTGAAAACACCCATTTTTCCTGCACACAGATTAAACTGATGGTGACAGTTCTTCCTTTTCATGAGATATGATTTTTCCCTCTTCCTCAGCTACATTGTGTACACTTCAGCTACACACACATCTTGGTTTAAGTTACATATCCATTATACAAGAGGCTTTTTATATAACCTAGCTGGACTTATTATGTCAAGAGAAAGTGTCCATGAGTGTGAGGCGCTGAGGCACCTCAGTGCTCTCATGAAGCCTGAGGACTGACTCTTGTATAGATTTAATCTTCCTGTTATTTTTCTTGTTGTTAGATATTTTCATGTTAGCAAGCTTATATGCAGCACAATTTAAGTGAAATTTGATATGATTGTATACTTAATTACTGAACTGCTGATCCAGATATGCAAACACGTCTTTATTTAAATTGCTTTAAGTTGTTGGATCCTGAAGAAATGCTCTCTCATCTTGCTTGTACTACTGTGTATGTACAGCAAAATGACAATAAACTTGATTTGATTTTGATTTGATTCATGTATTTTCACTTCTATGTAGCCTGCACACCAGTTGTTTGTGTTTCTGTGCAAAGGGACAGTACAATAAATAAAACAAAACTGCAAACAAGTTTCAAAAATAATATCCAAGCCATAAGTTGAGTGACCTCTGAGACTTTACACAAGAATTGTTTTAAATAAAAATCTGTCTTTGTCCATTTAAGAGGCAGTTTTTAAATCCAGCAGTGTACATTCAAGTCCCACTGGGAGAAAACTTATAGTGCATCCTCTTGTGCAATGCAATACATACAAAACAAATGAGGTATTTTTCGTTTCTATATACTTAATTAAAAGCTTGTCTCACCATTCAGGCAGGTAAAAGGAATTTCTTTGTGTAATGTAGCAGAAACATAAACAGCCCTACATTTCTTGTGTTGAGTCACCTCCTTTCTATTTTGCCAACCACACACCTAGTGAACAACTATGTTATGATCTCATGCACAGGCTTTAAATTTAAATAGCATTTGTTGTGAAAAAATATCTTTTGTGTAGTGACTCTTTAAATCTAGGGCGAGGCGTGGTTCTTACTCCCGGTCTGTGAATACAGTTTCAGTATTGTGTTTCTTTCCTTTCTTTCTTTTTTTTTTCTTTTTAATCAAATACTGCCACATACACATAAACTAAATTACAGATTACTTGTGTTTTATGTACTCAGTGATATTTTCTGCTGTATGACTGTTTATCATCATTCTTGCTGCCTAAACAGAGCCTGTAAAATGTAACATGAGCCACAAACTATGTCATCTTGTATTGATTCTAGTTACTGAGCATGCACAGGATGCTCGTGAGCAAATACTCCTCCTGCAGTAGGTTTATCTCAATGTGGAATTTTATTGTTAAGCTTTTGCCCACTGGGGTGTAGCCTTGAATTGGCAAGGGACTTTGGGACCATGTTATGAAGGTAGAGAAGATCATTATGGAGAGGGAGTATCTAATATTTATGATTGTCTGTCACTCAAAGCACACAGAACTGACATGCTGAGTTCAATACGTCAATGCAGTGATGCTGTTAGTCTGACTGCTGTGGTTGGACTTACAGACTGTACGACGTATTAGATGACAAATGTAGCATTTACAGTACAATCCCAAGAGTTTTCTGACTACGCAAAGCAGGTTCTGTTCGAGAGCAGTGTCTGTAAATGTTGTTTCATGAATTTTGTTATTTTTTTGTCCTTTCTGGGGTTTTTAAAAAAAATGTACCAGGTTTGTGCAGCTGAATTCTTTTAGGGCGTGACTAGCTTTTGAGTTCTTGATGCTGCCACTGGAGCTTGCTGTGCCCTGAGGTGATAAAGAATGGCACCAGTTTTATGCTGCCAGAGTCAAACGCCTGCTTTTTTCTGCCTTGCTTGGCATTAAATGTGAGGCCTGCCCCTCAAATTATCTCTGTCCTGTTTCCCTTGTTCTTTTCTTTCCATAAGTCATATCTTATATGCATATATAAACCATCGTCATAAGCACACGCACACACAAATCAAGCAGAAGATCAAATGGCTCTTTACTGTCAAAAAGGTGTTTTATACTTTCGCATTCATCTGACTTTTTCTTTATAATTTGCATTTTAACAGTGGGTTCTGATTATAACAAGGTTGGAGCGAGACATAAGAAATTGGCTCACAGCTCATGCATTAACTATGCAAAAGCACTTACAACACAGAATATATCCTTTAATAATTTAAATTTATGAGGCACTGCTTTTTAACTTTACACCTACCAGATATTTAGGTCACGTTCATTTAATTTTAGTTTTATATTAAAAATGGGTTCTTTAGCTCCTAAGGCTGCTTGTCTTTCTTACGGTTCTTATTTTCAGTAAAAATTGTGTCTGTACACACTCAGATGTACTAAATTATTAATTCCTGATCTATTGCTTTTTTTCCATCTTCTTTGTAGCAGCAGCCTCAGAAACAGTCTCTGACTAAATCCTTGTGTCAGGAAACCCACTGGAAATGCCTACTACTGTCCCTGCTGATGTACGGCTGTGTCGGGGTGATGGCCTGGTGTCAGGTGACCAAGGTTACACGCCTCTCCTTCGACAGTGCTTACAAAGGAAAGTCTATGATGTACCACGACAGTCCCTGTTCCAACGGTTACATTTACATTCCTCTGGCCTTCCTGGTAATGCTCTATGTGGTATACCTGGTGGAGTGCTGGCACTGCTACACCAGGAACGAGATGCAGTACAAGGTGGATGTGGACAGCGTAGCAGAGCGCATACAGCGCATGCAGCAGGCTACGCCCTGCATCTGGTGGAAGGCCATCAGTTATCATTATGTCAGGAGGACACGGCAGGTGACACGTTACCGCAATGGAGATGCCTACACCACTACACAGGTTTACCACGAGAGAGTGAACACCCATGTAGCTGAGGCAGAGTTTGACTACGGGAACTGTGGAGTTAAGGACATCTCAAAGCACCTGCTGGGCCTGGAGGGCTTCCCCATCACCAGGCTACGGTTCACTAAGTGCTTTAGTTTTGCCAATGTGGAATCAGAAAACTCCTACCTGACCCAGCGAGCCAGGTTCTTTACTGAAAATGAGGGCCTGGATGATTACATGGAGGCCCGTGAGGGGATGCACCTGAAGAATGTAGACTTTAAGGAGCATATGATTGCCTTTTCTGACCCTGATCACCTCCCTTGGTATGCTTCCAACTCCACTTTTTGGGTAGCAGCTGCTTTCACCCTCTCCTGGCCTCTGCGGGTGCTGACAGAGTTCCACATTGCCTGTGTGCACTACCATGTAGAGAAGCTGTTTGGCTTTGACTATGTGCCAGCAACACCATCTGAGGAGCGGTCATATTGCAGACACATCCCACGAGTCAACACAGTTGACAGCACAGAGCTAGAGTGGCACATCCGCTCCAACCAGCAGCTGGTGCCCAGCTACTCGGAGGCAGTTCTCATGGATCTGAACCAACTCTCAGGGAGGTGTAACAGCTACTCCATATGTGGATCCTATGGCAGCTATAGGCAGAACTGTGAACGCTGCCACCGTGCCATCAGCAGCTCCTCCATTTTCTCTCGCAGCGCCCTGAACATCTGTAACGTGGGGAGCCCCCGCATTCCCTTCAGCGCCAGCCGCTTTTCATTGGGTCGGCTATATGGCTCCAGGCGGAGCTGCCTGTGGAGAAGTAACGGCAGCCTGAATGAGCAGTCCTGCCCTACAGAAAGTACACTCTGTCTATCAGGCCAACAGACAAGTGAGGACAACCCTCCAGCCTATCAGGATGCTCTGTACTTCCCAGTGCTCATTGTCCATCGCAATGAAGGCTGCCTCAACCACGACCACCGTTCTCTGCACAGAAATGGCTCCTGTATAGAAACTTCACTGTGATTCACAGCTACCACACTTGTCTCAGTAAGAAATATGATGACACAAACTAAAGCCGAGAAACCTTATTGACCCTGGGCTGGGATAATGTGGACTCTTGATTCTCTGTTTTATAACAGAGATATAACCAAGGATTCGTTCTGATTTTTAAAGATACTGTTGCCTCAACCAATAAGTACAAACAAAATATGTCTGGAGAATTTGTGATGGTACATTCAGTAAGTCAGGGAAAAAGAGACTTGATGAGACTGTTGTTTAAAATACAAAAGATACAAATACCAAAGTGTCACATACAGCCCTGAAGTGTCTACCGAGTTGAATATCCAAGAAATACCAAAGGAAGTCACATCCTACTGTAAATTTCGAGGACTTCGTCACAGTTTGCAAGGATATGAGTAACACTTTCAACAATTTTAGGCTTGAAGTTCTTGAGACACACACATCGGGTGATTATGTGACTTTAGTGAATCATGAGGGACAATGCAATGATACCAGCCTCCTTGTCAAAACATGGCACAATTTTTGAACAAGAATATTATGTGTTGAAATAAAACAGATGCCTTTTGGCACTTAGAAAGCTACCGTAGGCCCAAGTATAAAATCTAAACATCTGCATGTATTAAATTTAGACATTGGCTTGTTTAAATGTTTTTACTTAAAGTCAAAATTAGAGGAAATCCATTTACAAGTAAGTTTTCATAAAATAAAAGTAAATGCCTTGGTGCAGATAAACTATTCAGTCAGCGGAAATTGGCTCGTTTGCAATGACATTATCCTTCCTGGCTTGCCAAATATAGCACAGGAGGAACATGAATAATTTAGTGCAGTAGGGCTAAAGGACATGAGAACTTAAATCTAAATCATGAACACTTCACACAGTTTCATCTGTACAGTTTGAATAATGGCCAATTGCATTGTAATAAACCTCACTGTAATGTAAATTGATCAGTGTCGGATAGTTTAATTTAATTTGACATTTGGCAAATTTTTATATACCCTACCTTTATTTAAGTGCCTAGCATCAACTGTAAATGATAACCATATCCTATCACAACCTCAATCATCCCAACTCAACATCTCACAATCAAAATAAGCAGAACAGTAGCACAGAGTATATAATGTATGAGGAAGAAAGGAGGAAGGAAGGAAAATATTGTTGTACCCAATGTCATTATTGTTTAAAAACACAAGTTTTTAAAACTCCTGCCTAAATGGGTTTTTTTGTTTGTTTGATTTTAGATGATTTTACCCATAATGTAACACAGTTCTTCCATAGCCAGCTCTGTGCTACTGCTGATGCAAATCAGAGAGACAGCCAGAGAGCTGACCATCAAAGACACTAGAAATAGGCAGAGGACTGGATTCACTACTGATAATGTCAAATTTATTAATATGACAGGATTACACTAAAAACACTCAAAAATATTTATTTACTTACTTGAGTGCATGCACTATCTTTTACTGATTTTGTTTTACAGTCGAGACATACACAATAATAGGTGTAATGTTTCATGCAAACACTGCTGAAGATCAGGCGTGCTACAACTTTCGAGACAAAAAACATAGAAATTAGCTCCCTTAATGAAACAATCCAGCTAATTTTAATGGTACTGCTGCACCACACAGCCCATCCCTCAAAGTTTGGTTTAATTCTTCCATTTCTCTTCAGTATTTCTGGACAGTGCTTCTTGTAAGGATGGTGTTCGGCACAGAGCACATTCAGAATGATGATAATGGTTATTGTGCAGTGTAAGGATAAATAGACAAGGATTGTTGGCAGACTGTTTACAACCATCAGAATCATAGAACAATGTGAATCTTGCCTATGCTCAAACATTTTGTATCCCAACTTTCCTCATACTAATGGACTTATGCTGTAACATGTGACCAATTAGCCGTACTCATTACATTCCATGTGTGGTAGTAAGTTGTGGATTATCTTTATAGCAATACTGAATAGGCTGAAAATAGCTAAAGGAAGCAAATGCGATTTAAAAAAAAAAAAAAAAAAACAACTATTAAACCACACATTTCATTAGGTTTTGAATAAGAACAGTTTTAACCCTTTCTCACAACTCAAACTCACCTATGCAAGCCCCCCCAAACTCAGAATAGTATTCCGGCCAACAATTCCACTTGTAGCAACACTGTAATACCTGAGGGCTGTACTTCAAATCAAGATATTGAGCCTAAAGTCAGAGTTTACAGAGTCACAGAGGTGGCAGTCCTTTAATCTGGCTAAATCTCCTTGGTAACTTATGCTGCACAACAAACCTGGTCCAAAGCAAGTCATGTTCAGAGTTTCAGATTTAAATCAGCTGTAAGAGGCATCTCCCTTTAAGCAAGTGGTTTCCTGACGACTGTCTTTGAGCGATACAGATTCTCAGCTGAGACAATGCAAATGCGTTAAGCTGTATTTTACGAATATCACTGAATGAAGCTGTGCAGTTACAGTATTGTACGCTGTATGCATTTTGTTGCCACAGGAACCCAACATTTATTCAGCTGATGATGTACAAATCTCATAAATATGTTTTTATGTTTGGTCCTGATTTGCTTTCATGTCTTTTTACATTGCTGGTATTGCAGCTAATAGAACAAATTAAAAATGGATTATTCTACTGGTATTTATTGGAGAATATTCAATCAGTAACACTAATTTCCCTTTGATTTGGCCAAAAATTAAAGTGATATCCTGCATTATAGGACAGTGTCAGATCCTGAATACAAAATGTAAAATGTATGAAGTCGCTGCTACTGCTCTCCATTATAACAACCTTTTGAGTCAAGTAGGTGACACACGGGTGTTTCATTTTGTGTAGAAGAAGATTTACATGCCACATTAAGCACCTCCTTTTGTGTGAACAGGCACAGAGTCTGAGGCATAAAGTATGAGTGGACAAAGAAAGTCATTAACCAACTTTGTGATAGTTACCTCTGACGAGGGCTTTAGTTTTTGTCGAGCCGACTTACAGCCCTCTGGTCATCACTCCTTTCACCAACTTCAGCTGGACTTAGTGTTCCCATTTCAGAAGAGAAGGATACAGAAGCAAATTGTGTCTGATTTTTAGGTTCTACTTCAGGGTTTAGTTGGCCTCACTATTTGTAAATCTGTTACTAAGTCTGTGTGACTTTTTCATCTCTGTTTTTATGAGAATACATACAACTGACTGACTATTGACTTCTGTAACTCTGAAATGTCATTGATGTAATCTTTGAAACACATGCTTTGTCACAAATATATATATACATCATGCATTTTGATTTCTTCATAAATTTATTACAGGTTTCCTGGAAGTATGACAAAATCTGCTGGGTCAAAAATATACATGCAGCAATGCTAATATTTGTTTGAAAGTCCCTTGGCCATTTTCACCTTAACTCTATGCTTTTGGTTGTTGTCCACAAGCTTTTGGCAAGCTTCTAGTTATATCTTTGACCACCATTTTTGACAGAATTAGTGCAGTTAAACAAAATGTTTAGCTTTTTGCCACTACACTGCTTGTTTCCTTAGCACAGTCCACGGGGTCTTGATGGGGTCTTGATAAGTCAGTACTTTGAGGAAGCCAGTTTAAAAAGTTCCAGCTTGATGTAGCTATTTCTCACCATCACTTTTGATTTGTATTTTGGGTCCTTGTCTTGTTGGAACACCCAACAGGGTCCATCCAATATCTATACACCGCTTAATCCTCACTAGGGTCGCGGGGGGGCTGGAGCTTATCCCAGCTGACTTCAGGCAAAGGCAGGGGACACCCTGGACAGGTCGCCAGTCTATCGCAGGGCTACACTTAGAGACAGACAACCAAGCACACTTTAGACAATTTAGAATCACCAATTAACCTCAAAATGTTTTTGGACTTGTGGGAGGAAGCCGGAGAACCCGGAGAGAACCCCTGAATGGGGAGAACATGCACAAACTCCATGCAGAAAGATCCCGGTGCCCCCACTAGGACGGGAACCAGCGACCTTCTAGCTGCGAGGCAACAGTGCGAACCAACTGCACCACCTTGCAGACCCAACAGGGTCCAAGACCCAAACTTCTGGCCAACAATTTTTAGGTTTTCCTTAAAGAATGTGGAGGTAATCTATATTTTAGCACTGTTTGTCCCCAGTGGGACATAGACAGTCTGCCTCCATGTGGTCCTGTCTTTGCCTTCATGTTGTCAGATCCATCTCCTTTAGCTCTGTCATAACAGTTTTTTGCCAGGTTTTTTTTTTTTTTTTTGATGCAGCCTGCTTTGTGTTTACCAGGTGGAGTCCATCTCTAAGCTGTCTTGGGTATAAGATTCTGGTCCATTCTACAGACATGCCCAAACCACCATAGACATTAGCACTTGATCTCCAGCACCACTGTCTGACTCTTAGTCTTCCTGCACAGTTCCTGATTTGAGATCTTTTCTGGCCAGAATATGAGACAGATCTTTCTAAGGGATCCATTGTGGAAGGCATCAATCTTGTTTATATTGCCTTTTACCACTCGCAACCATTCTGAGCCATACAGAGGAACAGATTTGACTTTGCTGTTCTATAGTCTGACCTTCATTCTCAGGCTATACTGCTTTGATTTCCAGAAGGGCTAAAGTGTTGCAATAAGTGCTTACTTTTCTGAGCCTTGCTCTGATATCCTTATGTGCTGCATTGTCCTAGCTGACAAGGCTGCCAGCTCTGAAGAGAGAGCAAGAGATCAGCTGGGTCATCGACCAAGTCTAAGTCTTCAAGTTGGCAGCTGTAGTGAATAGCAATCACTTACAAGAAGTTGAGAGGCCGTGCCACAAAGAAAAGTAGATTACCACAACTTTTCAATGCTGCACTTTTGACCGAGCATATTTTGTCATATTTTGAGAAGATCTACAATAAATTTCTGAAGGAAGCAAAATGCATGATTGTTTTTTGGCAACAATGATGTATGGGTTTCAATGATTACATCACAGGAATCTAAGAGTTACAGGAGTCACTGGAAACTCAAGACTGAAATGATATACATGGTCTGTGTACGTGTTTGAAAACTTTGGTTCACAACTGTATGTTTTCTAACGTTTGTAGAAGTCTTGCCTAACTGGCATATATGTGGACAAATGCTATTCACCTAAGATTTGTAATTTGCAATTAGCAGATTTTTTAAAAAATAATTATGTAATTTTTTTTTTTTTTTTTAAGCATTTTAGTCAAGTATCATGCAAGAAAGGTCAACCACATCCCATATTACCTCTTTAATGACTAATCTCTACTGTATATGGTGCAATCTGTTTTGAATCAGTGATTTGTAAATCTCCACTTTGTAAACACTTGTTATACTTGTCATAATATCCAAAACAGCTGGTTCTGGTGTTCATGACACTAACATTGAGGTGTCTCCTAGAATGCAGAAAGTGTGATGTTTCTGACATTTGTATATCCCATTTGTTTAATTATACAAAGACTGAAGTATGAAAGTGTCAAGTTCTGGTTTTAGGCTGACTACAACTTGGTAATTAGTGATTTTTAGATATACTGGCACCTGATAGTCAAGTTAGATATTTTCCAACAGTTCCAGGCTTTGTTTAAAGCTTAAAGCCTAAACGTCTATACGAGTGATCTCAAGTCAAAATACAAAGAACTGATTGTGACAGATTGAAATGATTTCTTTTTTTTTTTTTTTTTTTAACTTTCTTTTCTTGCTTTAGTTATTTTTTAATTCTTAGTCCTGATTGGCTGCATCATAGTCCAGAGTCAGAGAATCAAGTGGACTTGCATGTCCTTCAAATACAAGCATGCATACTCCACAAAGGTTAAAAATGTAATGAAATGGTTTGGGGTTTTTTTAAACGTTGTTTACAATTCAGCTTAAAGGAGGACACACAGGATGAGCACATGTTAAATTTCATTTACTGTGCCACTCTGAAATCATCACTTTTTCAAATTTATGATAAGCCAATAGGCCTCTCAGGTGGCTTCACTGTGATATTTGTGCATAGTCATGTAACTGAGGTATTGAAAATGGTTGTAAATCTGACTAAAAGGGTTATAAGTAGACATATTTTCTCCATCGATGACTGTTAGAATAAAGGCTTTGTCATGCAAAGTCCCAAACCCTTTATCATGTCTATTAGGTAGATTAGGTTGATATGATGTGTTCTCTTTCACTCAGGAGTTCTTTTGGGCTCATCTTTTTATATTTAAATATATTTGTGAATTTTCAAGTCCATAGGGCAGAAAGGCTTTGTACTGTAAATATACTAGATATGAGACTGTAGAATGGCTGTCAATGTGAATATTGCACTGAGATGAATGTGCATCAGTTAGTCATTTAGAGGTAAGTAGAGCAGGGACATTTAGATGTGCAGATGTTAAGTTGTGAATTTCTTCTGCTGTAATGACAGCCGGGTAAAATGCAAGAAGCAACACAGCCAACTGTTTTTAATGTGCTATTTTGAATGGGGTTTGTTTCCTTTTATACACAGTTTTAAAAATAATTTAAATACAGTACACCTTTTTAAACTGCAAATGTCACAATAATTTGACAGATTAAGGATACTGTACATCTAAACATTTACAGTTTTAGGAGACACATGAGTCATTACTGATATTGACTGACAGAAATAACATCAGTGTTCCATTGCAGATTTTAGGCTTTTTTTTGGCAGAACCTAAAGAATAACGATGCCTAATGTTATTCTTGGGAATGTGACTTTGCAAGGTTGAAAAGTGGATGAACATGGCATTAATTATAATTGAGATGTTTTTGTCACTGATAATTGAAGGTGTTACACTATAAACCAGTACATATAGTTAAAAATAAAACAACACAAGTCGGTATGTATTCCAACAACACCACAACGTTGCCTTGATGTTACATAAGGTCTAAATACCAAATAAGTGTATCAAAGTGGAAAAAAGGCTCAATAAACTGAAGTATTCAGGAAAATGTCTGGTCTATGTTTTAATATGTAACAGGTATACTAGCAAGCCTTTACTTGCTATTTTGATGCCAATTTTGATACAAGACCCAACCTACAAGCTTGCAGGATTGGTTTCTTGGGTATGTTATAACCCTGGAAGTCTAAATCTGTGTTTTTCAGACCATCATTAGTGTGTTTCTAATTGGAACTGCTCAGCCATCAAGTTAACTGCTTATTTCTACTATGATATGTCTTCTATAGCGCATTAAAAAACCCATATGGACATTCATCCATCCATTCATTATCTATACACCGTTTAATCCTCACTAGGGTCGCAGGGGGCTGGAGCCTATCCCAGCTGACTCAGGGCAAAGGCAGGGGACACCCTGGACAGGTTGCCAGTCTATCACAGGGCTACACATAGAGACAGACAAGCACACTCACATTTACACCTGCGGACAAGAATCACCAATTAACCTCAGCATATTGTTGGACTGTGTGGGAAGAAGCTGGACAACCTGGTGAGAACCCATGCTGCACGGGGGGAACATGCAAACTCCACACACTTCCTAACTGGGATGCGAACTGTGGATCTTCTAGCTGCGAGGTGACAGTGCTAACAATGGAGCCATGGTGCAGCCACCATATGGACATGTAGAGGTTAAAAAAGTCCTCATCGGAGGGGATCTTTGAGGGTTTGCTTAAACAGACGTTACAGAACCAACAATGTATTAGCCCAACTTATTGTCTCTTAACTTCCAAACTGACTGATTCCTAGTAAGGATTCTAAACACACACACTCACAACTAAAATTACATTAAATTTTAATTTTGCTATTGGTTTGAGATGCAGGGTTAGTATACAGTACAGGGGTTTTCAATGGAAACATGGGTCAAAGGGCAATGAATGATAAAGGTGTGTTTATATTACAAAACAGGGGCTTGACATCCACGCTTTTCTTTTCTTAAGCTTGTTTCTTAAGTTGTAAACTCTGGTTGGTCCAAACCACTTGGTTAATGGAGGAAACACTCTGCTCATTAACTTCTGTCAGGCAGATGTAGAATTCTGTTACACTGGTGTTGTGAGACATTGCCTCCTCCAAAGCTTTACCTCCTTCCTGCAAACACACACACACACACACACACACACACACACACACACACAGGGGCAATGAGTGAACAAAAAAAGAAAACACATTTGGCACTAATGCATGTTCATGTTGAAAATATTACAGGATATTGTTTCTAAATAAAGTCTGAATAAAGTGAAGAATATTAACATCTGAATGACAGAATGGCATAACTTAATGAGTGAAGAAACCAGTTGTCATGGTTTTACAAGGAGCCCAGGTAAACAGGCAAGCTAACTATCATGGATCTGGATACCAGCTGCATAACAATCATGAAACTAGAAATAAACACAGGACATGCAGAGCTAGTATGAGTTCCCAGAGAAAAAGAATCTATGAGGGCCAGAACAAGATGCAAGGCTAAGCAAACAATCAGGGGAGTAAGGAATGGCTAGAGTTCATTTCTCTGAAAACAAACAGGAGCAAAAGTAGCAAGAGACTGACAGAAGACTTGGCTAGAGCTTAACCAAAGCCAAGTAACACTGGGCTGAACTGGTGTCTGCATATACAATCTGGTGCTGAATGAAGGTTTGAGCCTGAGTTTTATGAAGCAGAATGCAGATTGGAGGTGAGCTGGTGTCCTGCTCATGTGTTTTCACTCCTGTTGGTTAGACTGCACACGCACAGGAGAGAGGGAAAGGAGGGCAAGAGAGACTGCCAGCTAAGCAGATGTTACATATCCCATGTCTGAAAAGGGTTTTATTGTTTTGTCTGGAACAGCCATTTCTATTTTTGTTAGGAGTACACCAAGCTCAGAGATATTGATGATACTGCATGTTGCATCACTGCTATGTGGACGATTTTTGATCCTCTGCAGTGTGGTTCAGTCAGAGATACAGTATACCATGAAATCGTGATGAGGAGAGTGCAAGAGGAAGGAGAAAAATAAGACCTGCCTCTTACAGGAAACAACACTTACTCAGCTTTCCATTATTGCCTGTTTTCCACACATCTTGAATAATTGAAAATCTTTGTACTTTCAAGATATTCTGACTATTTACTTCAGTGTACTATGTCTACACAGGCTCTTGCATGCTTGAACAAAAATCCAGTTTGAAATAAACCATTGTTTCAAATTGCTATAGCAGATACATTTAACGCAAAGAAGTAGTTACTGATCACATTTTTATGGCGGAATCCAAATTGTAAAGGCTTCATTTCTCTTTGTGCTCTCATTTTAGTAGGACAGTCCTTATTAAACCCAGAATGAACAATCTTATGTTCCTACAACTATACAATTAATTACTATAAAACTAATATTTCCCACAGAACACTAGGCCTGATTTCAACATTGTCATGTCATGGTGCTCGGAAATCCCTAAACATTTCCAGCTAAATATAGGCCACTTTTAGCTCAACCAGCTTTTAAAAATTCTACTATATTAAAGTATATATATCACAAACGACTGCAAATATTTGAGAATGACAGCTAAGTTCTATATATTGTGTGATAATCATTTTAATTGCCATTTCTCAATGATACAGCTATGTCAAAAGCTAGACATAAAAAGAATCTGTCTGGTTAACAATAGATTAATTGTTAAATCAACAATTAATTATTAATTATCTAACATTTGTATATTGTAATAAATTTGGCCTCAAGAGTTCAATTCTTTACTATATTTAATGTCATACGTACAACTGCATTTAGGTCAGATGCATCACTGAAATCCATATACTGAACTAAAAAAAATTTTGAAAAACCATTTCAAGACGGCACATATATGTCAAGGCTAGTAGCTGACTCATCTTTTTTTTTTTTTTTAAATACTGAAAACATGTTAATGCTATTTATTTACATTTACATGAAAATTCTATTCCTGTCTTTGTGTGTCTGCATGGCCAACGTATTTGTTCAGATCTCAGTCAATCACAATCATCCCTCTGCCCTGCTAAAACAAGCAAATAAGCCTTTGGTGTAAAGCTGCTGATCAGCTCAGTGTGACAAGTGTTGACAATATCAAGTTTTCTGTTGTGTGTTTTTGATGCCTAATTAACAGAAAATTGCTCAGTGGGTTATTTTCCTTTGTATTTAATCTGCTAAATGCATATTAGAAATTGCCATGTCCAAAACTGACATATTAAAATTGTTTCTGTTTTTTTTTTTTTTTTACGAACACAGAGAATCTCAAATTTACAATCTAGCAAATAGTCACACTTTTGAAGCTGGAAGTGAAAACCAGCGTTGTTGCTTTGAAAAAGTACCTGAACTATCAAACAACTGAGTGTTGCTGATTTATTTGCTGTTGAATGATTAATCAGTTAATTGACATTAGCATATATTGCCTCCCTCAGTGTTACTGAATTTAGTGATCCCTGACATTTTCAGAATTTCATTAATCTCTTGTCAAATTTATCAAAGCCTTCGGATGCCTACAAATCAAATTGTTGGTCAGGTGCAGCCTTACTTCAAAGGTTCCATATTGTGTGACTTTCAGTTTTTCAGCTCAGGGGGCTTGATGCTTGAGGAATGGCAAAAGTATGTTGTCATATCTTAAAATCTTTGATCTTATTTAATAACCACAATAAAAATGGATTTACACCTTATGGGACCTTTAAAATGAGCATTCAGCTCAAAACACATCAAAGCCCAAGTACAGCAGACGTCATACCAATTACAACAAAGACAAATGATATTTGCATCAAATTGAGCCTAATAAGCTGAGACTGCCATTACATTAAAATTCCCATTGAACAGAGTTTTCAACTTTTGGATAAAGGTGATAGCATGCCCTTTTCTTTGGCACCTCCCTCAGGTCAAACTTGCCTCAATAATAGTAGGGACCTCGGAATGGCACGGCTCTCTTTCTATTTTTAATTTTTTGTGCAGCTTTGTTTTCTGTTGTTGCAGTTGTGAAGAGACAACTTATTTTGCTATGTCATTAAATGCCTTACTTACCTCACCCAACTTATTGCAGGAGAGATTGATGCTCTTCAGGGAATTGTTCTGTACGAGCACCTGAGACAAGGCAAAAGCAGTAAGGCAAGTCATCTTGTTGCCTCCAAGGTGCAGGTGACGAAGGGTGTTGTTTTTCAGCAACGCCTCGACAATAGCCTCACCCCCCTCATCCCTCAGATGGTTGAGACGCAGGTTGAGAGACAAAAGACTGGAGTGCTTAGACAAAGCGTGAGCTATAGCTTTGGCTCCCACGCCACTAACGTTGTTGTCACACATGTTAAGGATCTCCAGTTTACTGTTGGTGAGCAGTTTGCCGATAGCTCTGGCTCCACTGTCACCGATCAGATTGTAAGAAAAGTCAAGCTCCCGCAGACAGGGATGATCCATAAGGTACTTCACCAGCAGCCGACACTTTTTATCTTCAATGTGGCTTTGATGGAGCCTCAGAAGCTATACAAAGACAGCAAAGTCACAAGTATTAGCAAGAATCTATGGTGGGTTTTATCAACAGCACAACAGTATGTACAGTACAGTATGAACCTGCACCATGTGCTGTTTACATGCCAGCACCACAGAGCAGTGAGACATTGAAGTAAGTAAATTAGTTGACTGACACAAAATTAATTCTAATATTCTCGTGTAGTTTCGCATCCTGCACAGGAAACAGTAGCCAGTATGTTTTCATGCAACAGTAAGTTCATGCAACAAATAGGGGCTTATTTCAGGTTGCAGCCACAGGTGGTGCTGTCCTGTTTTTAAAAATCAGCCCGATAATTTTCCTGTTTCATGACGTCAGGGACATTCATGCAAATACATTTTGTAGATGCCAAGAAGGAGCTAAAATAACCAGGAGTAATCAATATTCACCTTCAAGGTCCTACAGGACTTAACGGCCTTGCCAAGGGACTCGCAGTCTCGTTCAGTCATTTCAAACATCTTCCATTCAAAATTCATACCACATTGTTTAACTCCATACATCAGATGCAGCTCTTCCAGGTTTGTCAGCTTGTCAAGCAGTATACCAAAGTCAAAGTGGTCGATTCCAGGTACATCATACTGGGTATCAACTGCCAGGTCTGATCCATCCTCCTCTTCCTCTCTCTGGTGCTCCTTGATAGGCAGCAGCAGCTGGGAGATGTCCAGCCTCTTGACATAGTTTTTACAAAGCGGGACCATGTGTAGAACTACATTTGGGTCTGTTTCATTAGGGATAAAAAGCTCAATAATGTTCTTCAGGTGCCTCTCAAAGAACATTCGTTTCCAGCTGTGGTCATATTGAGAGACATCACAAACGTCCCACTTCTGCTGGCAGCAGCGCCTCCAGTAGGGCCCGTCCGGCAGCAGGTTGGCTGTCAGCTGCAGGGGCAGAGAAAGGCACAGCCTCTCCTGGACCAAGTCTTTCTGGGTCACTGTAAGTCCTTCATATATTGGCTTTTCTGCAACACACAGACATTTTGCAATCAACTTCCAGTTATAGGTGTGAGTGTAAATGTATTTACAGTCATGGTACAAGAAATCAGCAGTGTACCTTCAAAGTTGTCCACGATACACTGCAGACAGAGGTCTGACAAGCGGGGCACTATAGCCAGCGACCAGAGTGGATCTTCACCTATGATCCTCCTCATCATCCTGCAGTCTTCAGATGGGTTGAAATTTGCCCCTGGAGAGTAAAGACATTTGTTTTCTTGCTGATGTCTGTTATACATTTATTTGTCTGTGCACGTTTAGTTTAGATTAAAAATATTCAGGCTTGAGCAGACGTTGTTAATCTTCTTTTCACTACTGGCTATGAAATGAAATGAAATGAAAAATACTTTATTCATCCCAGAAGGGAAATTCAATCCTGTAAAAGCTCACCTTTCTTTTTTTTATTTTTTATTTTTTATTTTTTTTATTATTATTATTATTATTTATTATTATTCGCTAATACCTGTCCTAGGTATTAGCGACATTAGACTTAAACACACGCTTAAAAAGTACAAGATGTATTTATGTAATGAGAGTTTGTTTAATGTCTTTATAGACAAAAAAAAAAGTTAATGAAAAGTAACCTACTTTGAGGAGCTGCTAGCTTCTCGCCCCAGCAGACTGTAAAGTGGTTAGCGTAGCAGCCTCCTCACACGTGAAGCTAAGCTGCAGCTAGCTTCATATACAGCTCAAACTGGACACACGTTTAATATCAGTTTTACACACTTAAGTTAAATATACGCATTACAGTTTTAGTTTTAGTTTTTAAACGTTAACGGGCACCATACCTCATCTGTTGTTCTCCTGTCTCCATAGTAACAGAACGCTCATCTGTTGTCCTGTCTCCATAGTAACAGAACGCTTAGTTTAGGGTTTTAGGGAATGTCTGGTATCACTTAACAGGATCAGTCCCAGAACCAAATGGCTTGGTCTGTCATTAGTGACGGTGCACAAGTGCAGACAAATAAAAGTGATCGTCGTTAAAAAGACAATGTCAAGTGTATGGCACCTCCGACATTTGCAAAGACTTTTGATCTGAAATTTCTACAATCATAACTAAATGTAGCTGTACGAATATTCCGGTCCTTCTCTGCTTTTCCGTTTTATTTCTAAAGCGCCAGTTCATAATATATGTTATTTCAGGATAGTTCGCATAGTAAGTGATAAAGAATTATAGTTTTCTACAACTGTATATGAACAATATTATTAATTGCATGCTGTTGTAAAAAAAAAAAAAAAAAAAAGGGGGGGGGGGGGGGGGGGGGGGGCATAATAATAATAAGAAATACAAATCAATTCCAATAATATTATATATATATATTCATAAATTCTTATTTGAATGCATTGTTATCTATGAATTGCTTAATGCAAGAATGAAAGAAAACTACCAACGGAAGACCGCTGAATTAATATTTTCCAGTAATTATTAATATATCAACTGAACATAAAACATGAACACTGAAATGAGTGTGTGTATTTTTAGGGTGTGTTGCATGATGTCAGGGGAGCATGGCTCCTGCTGTGGAACACATTCAGATCCTACAGACCTGCCAGATGGACCTGGGATACAGACCAGGACATATTGGAAAGGGCATGTTGGAATGAATTCATCTATCTTACAAGCAGCAACATGAAGCAAGTGCATGGCAACAGTGTAGGAGGGGAGAAGTCAGTAAAACCTCCTTAAGAGATGACGATATGGTTATTTAAAACCTAATGTCTAGCTGCATTTTTTTGTATGCAGAGTTAACAGAAGTGAACCGCACAGCTTCTCAGTTTTATGACTTCAGATGTAGTGCAAAGGCTTTGTAATCAGATTGAGTTAGACGATTATAGAGTCCAATGATATTCAAAGAAATTTCGCTGCAGTAATTACTTATCAATCAATCATTACTTTATCAACTGTTTTGGCCACAAAGGCCAGGAGGTAGCAAAAAAATACATCATTTCACATACACATCCTCACACTAAAGGTGGCAGAGCTGCCATGCCTGGTGCTAGCCACCCATTGGAAGTAACTTAAGGGCAAAGGACATTTCAGCACATGGAGCGGCCTGGGACTGAACCAGTAGTTTCTTCAGTGTTAATTCAATAGTTTTATCTGTAGGCTGCTGTCATTAGTCACGTGATAACCTGGGTAACATTTTTCTATGATCACACATGGATGAAGGCAGGTACGTGATGTAGTAGGACTGACCCTGTTTTGCATATGCTCCGGCAGAGAAAGTGTGCCAGAAAGAGAGCAGGCTGCTACGAGCATTATGAGGCCACTCCAAGAGCAGGATGGAGGATTGGATAGAGGAGTGAGAGGCTCCAACTGTAGCCCAGAGGCAGTCCATCACTGTCGTCCTCGTGTAATACGGCCTGACAGACACACGCTTCCCTTGTACTCTGGTTTTAATGGACTGGCATGACATCAGCTATCCACAGCACACAAGGCAAACTCACTCTGTGTTCTGCTGTCCCACTCCGGGTAAAGCCACTGTGGGATGAATCACAACGTTGGGACTTCATGCGTTACATAAGAACTGTATAGGTTAACCACTCAGCTTGGCATGTCTATTGTTTTGGCATAAGGTAAACATGAGGAATACCTTACGGTTCTCATTGTGTCTTAATATTTCCTAGAACCTTGGCAAAGAGTTAACACACAGCTGCAGCATCAGTACCGCCTGTCTACAGAGTGAGGACTGTGTGCATTACCTTTTACCTCATCGCTGCAGCCACTACACTCACGCTTCAGGAGCTGTTACATTAGGCAACACAGCATGTTTGTAATTATGGAAAGATGAAAGGATTTGGCAAAAGGAGGAGTTTCTTTCTAAGATGAAAATTTATTTTTAAATGTATACCCACTTTAACAGTCACTGGCAAACATATATGAATGTGTAACACTGTGATGTTACGGAGGATCTCATTCCTTGTTTTTCAACAACCTAATGATCTTCTTTTTTCATGTGTGTAAATGTAACAGTGACAAAAAAAAAAAAAAAGTTTAAAAAATCCATTATTCAGATGTGGGCTGCAAGGTGGCTCAGTGGTTAGCACCACTGCAAGAAGGTCGCTGGTTCGCGTCTCGGTGAGGACACCTGGGATCTTTCTGTGTGGAGTTTGCATGTTCTCCCCATGCAGCGTGGGTCCTCTCCAGGTTCTCCAGCTAGAATGTGTTAGAATGAAGGATTGGATGCTACTCTTTTTCAGTAGTTGTATAGATGCATGCAGCTTGATGCAGTTGTTATAGTTCATTACTGAATACTTTCTACTATTATTGTTTTTGTTGTTTACCCAACCGATCGAGGCAGATGGATTGAATTGGAAATTGTTGGATAACTAGTGAGAAAAAGGCAGCAAATAGTGATTCATAGTTCATAATGATGTTTTGCTTTGGTACTGGTAATCAATTCTGAGTCAGATTTGATGAACTACAGTACCAACAGTGTAAACTGATTGAAACTCTAGTTCATGAAATCTGATTCAGAATTAGCTAATACCATTCTCTGTCAAATGTTCTGACATTGCAGGGAAAACATGGCTGGTGAATAACAAGGGGTTAAATGGTGTCAGCACTAAAAAAAAAGTATACCTGGTGCAGGAATAATCACTACTTTGCAGGTGTTAGATCATAAAACAAAGTATTGCACAAATTACTTTGAGCTAAAGATGGTGCCAGAAGAAACGTTATTAGTCTCCAGCTTCTGGATAACAATAGCCTATACTAAATTTACAGGATGAGTCAAAAAGTGTACCCCCAGAGGGCACTACAGAAAAGGACAAACAACTTAGGGTTCACCTAAATTATTAGGATTCATCCCTTGGGGACCGTGAATGTATGTACAAAATTTCATGTTAATTAATCCAAGGACCACCAGACAGACACTGCCTTTTACAGAGCCATATTAGCAGCATGGCAACAAAACACAACACTAGTATAAAGTAATCCTTTGAGCCCAAGCAAAGATTTGTTCATTTGGTTCAGTTTTCACTTATCAACTTATTTTAATCTGCAGTAGATCAAACTCCAGATTTCTTCAGACGTGCATCACAACACAGAGGCAGGAGTTGCTGTGAAAATGCATAGGAAGAAACTTTATTCCCATTGTCGAAAATAACAAAACAGCTTAGAATTTTACAAAAAGAAACACAAACCACAGCTGAATTTGGTTATTGGACTCATGATGAGAGCAAACTTTGTGTACGATATCCTAAATGTTCCAAGAATATTATATAATAATATAGAAATGCAAAACTCAACACCACAAAGTCCACTGAAGAAAAGGGCTAATCTTCAAACTCTGCAAAGCTTTCAGCAGAGTAAACACTATTTGGAGAACTAGAGTCCAAATGGATGCAGATCCACAGAGATCACAGAGCTGAGGTTGCGATCTATGGACGCCATGCTGTCAATGTTGCTGCTACTGCTCCTGTTGTCACCGTGGATCACATCATCTCTGCAGTGTCAGCTGCTGGAAAACACAGAAAAAGCATTGTATGACTACAATGTTCCTCTGAGTAACGTTCAAGTCCTGTACATGACTTTGATTGGTATTCTACATCTTACTGTAAACAAATCCAATGAAAAGACCTGAGGGCTGTACTATGAAGCAAGACTGTCAAGCTGTGTGAAGGTGGTGCTGTTAAAACAAAAAAACAGCAAACATTTTATAATCGCTGACAACATGTTGAACAAATTCCTTCTTTTCTAGTATAAGTTTGGGCAAATTACATACTGTTCATATTTGATGTGAAACGTAAATGAGCAAAAACAGTGACTGTGACATGTGCAAAAGTTTGGACTCAGCACTGAGTAACCCCATCTGTTAAAAGCTCCAACAAAATCAGCTCAGACCAATCAGTGGTGTATACGAGGTGTGTCAGAAAAGTTTCAAGGCTGGTTTCACAAAAGATATATTTCAAATCCAAACTACAAACTACAAGTTTTCCCCTTTGAACTAATCCCCCTGGAGTCTAACGCACATTCCCAGCCTTCTCTGCCACACTGCCATGCACTTCTGGAAGGATTCTTCCGGGATCCTCCACAGCTCCGTCGTCACAGCCATCTTAATGTCGTCCACGCCTTCAAAACGGGTCCCCTTGATGACCCCTTGAGCTTGGGGAAGAGGAAAAAATCCCACGGAACCAGGTGGGGTGAGTAGGGAGGTTGCTCCATGTTTTTCTCAGCCAGGAACCTTTGGATGCTCAGGGCATTGTGAGCAGGTGCGGTGTTATGGTGAAACAGCCACGACTTGTCCCGCCACTACTCTTGTCTCTTCTCGCGCACTGAACAAAGCAAACGCCACAGGATCTCTTTGTAGATGTGCTGGTTGATCTTCTGAAGGGGAAAACTCATGGTTGATAGTTTGGGTTTGAAATATATCCTTTGTGACACCAGTCCTGGAATGTTTCTGACACACCTCGTATATTACAGATCTACAGTACCACTATGGAGAGGGATTTGATTTATTATGTGTGTATTTTATTTTGTTTGCTGCAATTGATCCTTTGAACATTTTTTTTGTATTTTAAGGTAATGTATTTTAATTTTATTTATGAAACATGTTATAAGTGTGGTTGTGATTCTATGGAAATTACTTTAAATTTAACCCATTAGCATCTGTATTCTAACCAACAATCTTATATTTATTTGCAGTACACACATGCTATTTTTCTACATGTGTTTATCTGGGAAATGCACACTCATTTTCAGCCCCACCTTTACGTTATCATCCTGATTCAGTTATGCATAGCGTTCAGCGCTTTTGGAAGAAAGGTATTTTTATTGTTGTAAGGGCACAGCATTTCTAAACTAAGACATAACACAGAAAATAAGACAGACAGAAATGTCTCATTGTTGTGTCATCTTGTGTTTGAAATTTTCACTTATTCACTTACCCACAAACCACCCATCCCTCCCCCTCACACTCAACCAACAAGTATTTTTGGAAATTGCGTGCAAAGCCTAGACAAGTGTAAGCAGTGAGTGTAACTACTCTCAACACCTTGAAAACCATATTTCTTTTACTGCCTAAAAATTCCTGAGCATCTTAACCACACTGTGTTGCAGTCACTAATCATTGCAGTTGCGATCTGTGTCCAATGGAGGGAGACAGAGACCACCAAATACATCCATCCATTATCTATACACCGCTTAATCCTCATTAGGGTCGCGGGGGGCTGGAGCCTATCCCAGCCGACTTAGGGCGAAGGCAGGGGACACCCTGGACAGGTCACTTGTCTATCACAGGGCCACACTTCGAGACAGACAACCAAGCACACTCACATTCACACCTACGGACAATTTAGAATCACCAATTAACCTCAACATGTTTTTGGACTGTGTGGGAGGAAGCCGGAGAACCCGGAGAGAACCCACGCTGCACGGGGAGAACATGCAAACTCCACGCAGAAAGATTCTGGTGCCCCCACCGGGACCCGAACCGGCAACCTTCTTGCTGCGAGGCAACAGTGCTACCAACTGCGTCACCTTGCAGCTACTTTCATGTCCATTTATGTATTCTATTGCTTATTCGATTTATGTGGACTGAATTGATATATTTCCAGCCAGATATTCAATGTTTATTATTGTATTATATGCTTTGAGATATTTTTACAGTATTACTAATATTCTGTTGTACTTTATTTCCTTTGTAAACCACATACATACGCACCTGTAACCTACTTTGATATTAAAAGTGGCTTTGAACTTAACTCTCCATGCCCATCTCTCTGACCGGAGCTCTGTCGATAAATACTATCAAATCAGCAACAACATCCAAAGTGTCCCACTCTATCACATCTCACCTTTCCTTTTACGGATGAGGGCCTGCCGCGACGCCTTCATGTCCAGACTCAGGTTTTCCACCATGCTGTCGATGCAGTTGTCCAGTGCCAGACAGCGGGTTTGAGACTGAATCACCTGTCGGCAGATAGGGCACTCGTCTTTCTTTTTACGCCACTGCTTGATGCAGTAACAGCAGAAACTGTGAGCACAGTTCAGGATGACTGCCTGCAGGGGATATCAGTGAAGATGCCACAGTTAGATTGATTTTAAAGATTTGTGTCTACCTCACAAAGCAGCACAAAGACAAAGACCAAGTTGTAGATGTCTCATTCCATCTCAAATCTATATTTTAGAAGAGTTTCTTCTCGACCATCTCTAGTTTGCCTGAAAGTTTTATTTATTTATATAATATTGATATTTATAAAGACATGTGAAATTTTAGCTTGATATAGAAAATACTTTATGAGATCAATAAAAAAGGGAGAGAAAAAAAGCTTGTTGAACCACATTTACATTATTGAGCACAGATAAACAAAAACGTTAATAATGAAGAAGTCAGCCAGTAATATTTTATAAACCATATGTAGTTGCATATCACAACAATACAAAGCAAAACATATAGCATACTTGTTTTATAAGAAATTCTTAACAGTGGTAAAACAGAAGAGTTCTGGTTCTCCAAATATAACTAAGGAAATATATATATATATATTTTTTATTATGGTCATATTTTTCATTTTCAGACCCCAAAGATGCTGTGAGATATTGTCATGAAGTCATAGCCTCACATTAAAATGTGTGAAAAAACATTCTGAAAGCAGATATATGGGCTTTTTTTTAAAAATTCATTTATCTCAGAAAGTACAGTTGTGACTTGACAATCCAACACTAAATGTAAAACCTTCTTTTATGTCAGATAGTAAGGCTGTCAGATTGTCAAGATGGAGGTTGAGATACAAGGAGGGCTTGATGCTTGAAGGGTAATTTGTTGTTAATATTCATTGTTTATAGTTGTTATAATAACTAGTGTATTGTTAGAACACTATGCATCGCTGGATTTCACACCTAACTGAGCGATGCGCTTGTGCACGGGCTCATCGGTTGACATCAAAGGTAAGTATATCTGTTGGATTGTTAAATCAGATAATATGCTGTTATCCTTGTTTGTGACATAAAATGTCATGTCAGAGTCGGATTCCAAGGCTGTTAATATGTTAAGGCTATTTTTTATGGGTTCCATTTGTTTTTCCTAAAAACTTCGGATAGCAAGGTTTGCGGATAGTTAAGGGTCGGATTATCAAGTCACAACTGTACTTGATGTATCAATCTAATTTTACAGATACCACCTCAAATATCCATTACAATAACAAAGTTCTAAGCAAATCAGGGATGGTCAGGCAG